GCCGGATACCAGTCTACCCTTCGGCAAAAACAATAATGTGGCTTGCTGCCAGCCGCAGTAGGCGATCGATAAACCGTGCGCTCGTGTATGCCCGTGGTAGAATACGAATGCTGCACGTGAACTCGGCCCACGCGCGATTTAAAGCGCGAGAAACAGCATTTATGAATTCATACGATGACACACTCTTATCTAAATAAAGTTTTTCATAAGGTCAGGGCTAGTGGTTTTCCTCAGTTACTAGCCCGATGGTCTAGTGAAATAAAAAGTTAATGTTGAATCCTGATATGTCGTTTATAAGATATTGCAATCCTTCTGCTCTTAAATTAATAAATAAGAAACACCCTCGGTCTGTAGCCTGCAGCCGAAACGTTGCTTTGCGCAACTTTTTCAGTGGATGCGCTGCCAGTGTTGCCACCGTCGTTGTAAGCAATGATATAGCCGTCACTTTTAAAACATTTAAAAATATTTCTAATAAATATTGAATCATAAAACTTTATGAAGCGTAATTTTAACCTATCTTACTCTTAGCTGAAAATATCTGAAGAACCTAGAGAAATGTATCCCTTTAAGTGGATCCTTAGAAGATGGCACATGTTGAAAGCAAGGATCACGCATGCTTCATCAAGCAAAAGGGAATGCCAATCTTCACCTGACCATGAGCAATTTTATGAAAAGTTATAAGTTTAGCATGGAGAAACACACACGAAAAGGAGGCCAATCAAGTTGAGGCTAAACAACATCAGTGCTGTCACGATGGTTTTTGGAAACCCATCTCGTAGCTTTATGCTGAATTCGTTCGCTTGTGTGGTTTTTTTCGTGCTGAATGGTATCCAATTTCGAACAGTTCTGAATTGTATAGGGGCACCAGCCTGGCAAAGCATATTCTAATATGGGGAGAACCATACTTTTAAAAACCAAGGATTGAGTGTTAGAATCAGCAAAGCTAAGGTTATTCTGTAACATAATCCGCACAAATTACAAGTACATTGTTTTGTAGGGTAGTGTGTTATACATGTCCTAACAGTCTTACTGACCTAAGCGCAGCCTACCTTCCAAACTATGCCATCTCCACATTCCACATGTTGCATTTCCTGCAGTAATTGAAGTGCTTTTATTGTAGAATAAAATAGTGAAAAGGTTTTTAGTATTTTTATGCAGTAACTTCACACCTATGCACACATGGTTTTAGCCACAGAGATCTCACAAAATTTCAATGAACCCCGTTCTGTCCCAATAACCTTCACCAAAATATAAAAAAAGGTTATGTGGGACAGAATTATTCGGTCTATGTCACTGGGTCTGTGCAATGGCAATGCCAATTAATTGATTGTAGTAATTAATTGATCACTTTTTACCTCACAATCCCCGCTTAACTTTGTAAATAATAGTCTTCAAAGTCCAAGGGACTATTGTGAAGACGGAAAGAGACAAGTTGATCACTGCCTCCCTGCACTGTCTGCAGATGAGATCGCAGTGCCAGTACGGCAGTAGGAAAAAGCCTCAAATTTGCAATGCTTGAAATAAGAAATGTGGTTGTCCGCCGTGGAAGGCATCAAATCGGGTTGTCCGCAACAATTTCTGGTTGTCCCAAAAAATATCCCCAAATCTCCTATTTTCAATCACATAATAATATGATCAGAAAACACTCCAAAACAGTGGCGTAGCCAGGATTTTTTAACAAGGGGGGCCAAAAACAGCAAACTGTGCAAAATAGTGGATGACTTAATATTTTACTGGCTCCTCCGCCTCCCTCGCCACACCCTACGGCTCCTCTACCTCTCAGCTCTGCAATCTTTGTTTTGGGCGCCATGCGAAAAGGCGACATTTTTGTTCATTGTTCTCTGCTCCCAAGATATGTAATTGTTCAGTGGCGGGTCTATGGGAGGGGTATGGGGGTCCTCCCCCAGAAAATTTTGGAAACTTGCTGGTTTGCTGGTTCCAAATCGAGTTCACCTCTCATAAATCAGAAAACCTGACATATACCAGTGTTGGAAATAGCAGCTGGTCCCATATTTTTATATTATTCACGATTTAATTCACGATTAAGATTTCTTGATGAGCTAGAAAACACTCGGATTTGAAGTATGAAAATGAACATTATTGTGCCAGCTAGCCTACATCGGTTGGTTGGGATTGATTGTCAGTTCAGATGCAAAATATTGAAAGCAAAAGGTTATATACACCATATATTAATTGGGTACTATAACACTCGTATATAAGATAGCCGAGTCGGTTAAGGGTTAGGGTTACGGATAGGGTGACTGTTTGTACTTGTGTGTGGGACTGCCGTAGCCTCGAGACATTAAGATACGGCTGCAGCACATGCGTAGTGTGACTGCCGTACCCGTACCCTCAAG